CCCATTTTCATGTACAGCACTAAGTTATATACTAGTAGAATAGTTTCAGTGAACTAAATGTTAACTAAAAGCTTCTCTGTCAAGAGCATTTTGAGAACTCAGCCTGATAAAATCTGATCAGTCCCTCATGTCACAGCACATGGGATCATCGATGTCAGAAGGAAAAGAGGGACTAGCAGGTTCAGAAAGAAAGACTGAGATGGGAACATGCCCCATCACATCAGCTAGATCTATGTGCTGGAATCAACTGGTGCCTCTCCTTCAGGTCTCTATATTCTTCAACTACTCCTGAGCTATGTGGACCTGGAAGTATTAAGAGATCAACAAAGACACTGAAGAAGAAAGGAGACTTACAAAGTTTGCTGATCCTTCAAAAAGCACCTTCTCTTTTTCAATTTTCACAGAATGATCTTGTTTTTCTTAAGCATCAGGGTACAATAAATTTGATGCAATACCAGTGATATTGCATCTCTCAATTTACAGTCTTTTTTTGTAAGGATTCAAAATTTCTTCCTCAAAAGAAAGGAAAAAGTTACTAATTAAAGCTAAGCTGAAGGCAGAATGCCTGATTTTTGGCACATCCCAAACAAGGAAGGGATGTAAATCTTAAGATTCCTCCAGTCTACTGAAAAAAAAAAAAATAAAACAATACTTCACATCTAAATGGCAGATATTTTTTCAGTGATGGCATTAAAAGAATTATCCTAAAACAAATTACTCTTAATTGGTTTACAGAGAAAAATATGAATATAATAGGAATTCACTGAGGCAAAGAGAAGTGCATATTTTATGAATAAGTACTCTAATGATCCATTTGTTACTTGGAAATAAAAACAAATAATATTTGCATAACAAAACTGTTTACATATCCTAACGGAAATGTGTCATTATCTCCTCCTGGCTTTTATATGACAGTCAGCATATATCTTAGGTCCAATATATTGAGTTTTACACCATCTTTTGCTTCAACAGCTTTGACATTTTATGTAAGCCATATTAGCATGTGGGATCAACAAGTTATTAATATTTTAAAGATATCAAAATTATTAAGATCTACCAGAAAGAAATAAAGCAGAACTGATCACTCTATGGATTCTGAAAACATGAGACACTAGCCTCACCATTCTACAAATCAATTCTACTGGAAGCTAAAGGATTAGACTGACGTGCATTTCCCAAGTTACATCTGTCATAACAAGTTTAAAAAAGCAACCAGCCCACTGAGCAAGAACTGGCACTTTGGGAAATGGCTTAAATAGCATTGAGCTCTCAACTAGCATTTTTATGCTTTTTACATATTTGAATAGACTCAAATCAAGAGTCTATTTCTTGTCACCTTCACATTTGACTTAAAAATTATTTAAAAAAAACAAACAAAAACCCCCAAACAAAAACTCAAAAACAAAGCAAAAAACCACAACCAACCAACCAACCCACAAAAAAATAAAAAACCACACCACACACACACACACACAAAAAACAAACAAAAAAAACCCCACCAAACAACAATGGAAAAAGAAAAAAACAAACCTTGTACTGAGAATTTCTCAGTATACCAGAGATTTCAGGATATCAGTGGTATGGACAATAAAAGGATGGGAGCACAGAGCCAGTAGTACTGTATCAACCCTAAGTAAAAAAGACAAACAGGAGGAACAGAGAAGGGAAGCCCATAGGGGCACTGCCTCTGCCCAAGCCTCATCCTTCCCTCATAGAATCTCAAATTTAGGGCTTTTCCATTCTTCTGATTGGAATTTCCACCTCATCTACATTTTACTCATGTGCCTGATGCTCCTTATGCAAAACATCTAGTCAAAGCATTACTTTACCTGTGCCTAAGAGTACGACTTTGGAGACCTTCAACAAATATAAGTCTTACATCAGACTGGACCATATATTGTATGTTAAACTGCAGTTGCTTTTAGCCTTTTTTTAAAAACAAACCATACAAAACTAGTCTTTTGGGACCTCAAAATTCTCCAGTGGAAGAACTCATAAACTTCAGAATTGATAGATAAGAAACAGTGCATACACACCATTTAGAGATAATCCACACAAAGCCAACATTCTAAGCACTGCAGCAGAGCTGGCAGTCTGCTTCTGCCTTGGGACTACATTTCCCCAGATCAGACTCCTGAGCACCTGTGCCTTGACAGCCAGCTGCATCTGTCCTTGGATAGCATGGGGGTAGATGGGAATGGGGAAGCAGATGGACTGGGGAATGAAAGCATGGCAGCAATGCTGTACTAGGGCTGCACAAATGTACTAGCAGGAAGTCACACTTTGAAGACTAACCTGAAAGTTCCCAGGATTAGTGCAGTGCTCACAACACATCCTGGTCAAATGACAGCTTGATATTCACAGCTCAGCACGTGCATGTTGCTGCCCTGTGACCAGACACTCAGATCAACCTCATGGCTTGACACTGAGATCCGCTACAGCATCTCTGATGCAGCACTGAAGTTTGGATGAGCAGCCATGTGACAGCCTCATAGTCCCAGGAGACCCACTGGTGATGAGATGCTCATGAAGACAGATCCAGCTATTGGTGCTTTACTTTTCCAGTTTTCTAATAACAAGCATGTGTAAAGAGGAACATCACTGGAAAACCTCATCTGATTTTTGAGCACCTTCATTAAAACTCAATGCAATGAAGCCATTAAATGAATCACTTTAAGAGAACCAGGCTTATCTTAAAGCACTCTGTGGCTCCAATTCAACAAGTCCCACGTCTCAAAAAACCTAGATTGCTGCAAACACCAGGGTGAAGACTCTTTGTTGCTCTATCTCAAAACTCCAGAAACAAGAAAAGGGATTTTTTTTTTTTAAAAAAACTAAAAAATCATGGTATTTAGTATGCTATATTTGAGGACAACAATAATTTTGGAAAAAAAAAAGTACAATTGCATTTGTAGAAATCCATTTTCTTCACTGGCCTACACTTGTATCTTCACAGACAAAAATATAGCTTTGTTAAATGATTCATTTTCATATTTCATTTACAGAAAAAAATTACACAACATGTATGTACAAACTGTCATAGACAAGAAACAAATTAAATAGAAGGCAATTTAATTAATCTCTGAAATCTTAGGAAGGAACTACAACAGAAAACATACAAGTTTCTTCAGTGAAGAAATACTACCTTCACCACTTCTTTCAACGAAAAGAACAAGCAAAGGCAATGTACATATTCTGTACAACCGAGGAAGCGCCATCCTGTGTAAACACTAAAGTCCAGGAAGGTTGCCCAAAGCAAGTCAGAACAGAATTCTGTCCAAAGACTGAAAACCAAAATTAATTATTAGACTTAATGCTGTTGAAGTCATGAGATTCCCAGGAGCTGAATTCTCTATTTAATATAATTAAATATTAATATTTTTTTTTTTAAGTGCAACACAGGCACCCAGAATGTGGTTTTCCATACCCTGACATCCCAAAGCATGTCATTTGCTCAAAAGACTGCTGACTGGGAGAGGAAGCACAGTTAAGTATCATTAAATACTATTATTAGCTTTTTAGCAAGGCTAATTACAAGACTGCCAACCCAAAATGTCATGGTGATTTCTCATCTAATCATCTAGCACCCAGGAAATGAATGGAAAGCATCCATTTTGCTGACACATATTAGGAAAACCTGATGCCCAACATAAATCCGACACAATCTTTATAACTTTCTGAGCCAAACAAAAGAAATACAATTAAAAACAAACATCACAGGCCAACAACAGAAAAACATCACCAACAACCAATAAAAAATTCATCCCCCCCCCCTTCCAAATCTCAACAGCATGTAGGGGTACAAAAGAGCAAATAAAAAGGAAAATAAAATGGTAAAGTACTTGACAGCAAAATCAAAAGACTACATAACCTGTTTTGCCAAATGATGAGGTTCAATCCCTAACAAAAAAACCCCAACCAAACAATAAAAACTAATAAAGTCTCAAATACTAAAGCTGATCCTCTAAAAAATCGTATGTTGGATACCATCTGAGACCTGATGGTCATACAATGCAGAAATTGTGGCTGGGATCACCATAGCATCACCCTGATGAAGCTTTTTATTCTCCTAGTTTTTTTATATTTTCCTGAAAATAGTAATTATTAGTTTCACAGATTATATCTTAAAAAGCCTCTTTTATTGTAATTTTTTATTATTCTAAGGCTTATAGTTCATTAAAATAAACTCTTACAAGGACTTGATGTGTAACTATGCATGCACCTCGTGAGTCTATATATGATCCACCCCCAATGGTTAAAGACTCCCTTCTCTTTGCTGCACAGTATGGTCTGGGATCACTAAGTGATGCTAATGCCCTCCTTATCTGACAACACAAAGAGTACCTTCAACAGCTTGAAGGGAAGACATACCACTGATTTTCCCTTTCAGCTGTTTTCCAAAAAAAGTAAATGCAAAGAAAAATCTTTTTAGACGCACCTGTTTAGAACTGATTGACAGAAGATCATGTTCAATTAGAGACACAGAGGTTTCGTATGCACACATATCAGTAACTCTGACATACAGAGACAACTAAATCAAGTAGAACTGCTCCCTGTTCCTTGCACTTATCAGTTACTTTCAAAAACCAGAACTGACAGAGAGGTTTTCTAATTAGTACCGGATGACACATCAGTAAGTGGTTGCCGTCAAGCGAGTTTCCCTCAGGTTGCCCACATACCTGCAGCCGACATGCGTTTATGAAAAATAATAGATTATTTTTACCAAAAGGAGTCGCACGGGGCTGGCAACAGAGGCACTGGCAGTTACATAAACCGGAGCTAAAAATAAACTTCACAGGCGCGGGTGGGCAGCGGTGGGGCAGGGGCAGGGGCTGGGGCCGGGCGCTGCCCGCCGGGACCGCAGCCCCGGGAGCGCGAAGGGTCCCCGCCCGCTGGGCCCACCCCGCCGGCGGTGCCGCTCCGGCCGGACCCGCGGCCCGCCCCGGCCCGGTCCAGCCCAACAAGTCGCCAGAGTCGGGGCGCGGGCGGCCCCTGCTTACCACCAGCACGGGCACGCCTGCGGTCAGCGAGTAGAGCAGCACCGGCGGCACGGCGCTGCGGTCCTCCGGGCCCGGGTAGGGCTTTCGGTACGCGCCCTCGTAGCAGAAGAAGCCTTGCACGTTGACGGTGAAGGTGTCCGTGTACTCGAAGTAATAAGCCAGCATCACGGTCCCTGCCATGATCACCATCTGGAAGTAAAGCATGCTGGTGAGCGGAGAGGGCACTCGCATGTACGTGGGCTCCGGCGGCCGCGGCAGCCCCGCTCCCCGGCGGCGCGCTCCGCCCGCTCCCCGCCGGCATCCACCGCGGGCGGGGGCGGCTCAGCGGCGGCCGGGAGCGCGGTCGGCCCGGTGGGGAGTGAGGCCAGGGCAGGCACAGCCCGGCCGCCGCTCCGGCACCAGCACCGGCTCCAGCGCGGCCGCGGCTCGTGCGGGCGGCGGGCGGAGCGCGGCGGGGACGGGGGGCGGCTCCGCCTCGCCCCGCCCGCGGAGCGGCAGCCGGACCCCGGCCCGGCGGGGAGGAGCGGGGCGGGGGAGAACAAGCTGGGAGCTCCCCAGGACGGCTCCCACGGCACGGCCCTGCGGCCCTGATTAGTAAGGGAACCCCCTCCTACGGGGTGAGGGGCACCTGGGTCCCTCTCTACACCCACTCACACCTGTACGACACGGGCGTGCACGGGCAGAGCCGCTCCCGCAGGTGCGCGCCGGCCCGTCCGCACCTGGCACGGAGGCGCCGGGGATCGGCCCCGACACGGCCAACAGCCGCAGCTCGGACGGGGAAAGGGATCGCCACTGTTAGCCGGAGTGGTAAAGGCCTCAACATGGAATCACAGAATCAGTTAGGTTGGAAAAGACCTCAGAGATCACCATGTCAGCTGGACCATGGCTCTAAGTGCCGTGTCCAGTCTTTTTTTAAACACCCCCATGTTACTGTGATTCTGCAACTGTGATTTTGCAAGAAAATGGTTCTTAATATTTTGCTCTGTGGTTTGCCAGACATTTTTACGGAAGCAGTTTTGGAGACACTTTGTAGTTATATAGAGTCCATCATATACTTGAAAATTAGATGCCTTTAAAAAAAGCAACCCAACAACATTATGTGCTTATATTAAAAAACTTGTTAATACATAAGACTAATCCTGAGCATAACTACTTGTTCAGATCATCAGGTATATGAAATATACTTGATTTTTATGATCAACTTTTGCTTCTGGCTCATTACTGGCAACAGTAGAAGTTTCCCACAACTACCCACCCTCACCTCTGAAGCCTTCCCAAATCAGGAATGGAAATACATACCCTTTTGTATATGTATACCCATGAAAGCACTTAATGCTCAAAGCTTTAATTTAAAAGCCATAAAGAAAATTTGTAGCTGGCCATGAAGCCCAATTAACATCCTAGAGTAAGTGGAGAGTCTGCTCTGGTGCTGGGAGAAATCATACAGATAGAAACACAAAAGAGTTCTAGTTAAAAATACATATATAGCACACACCCATACACTTTAGAATAGATGACTGTGCCCAAGGCCCAATTCATCCATGTGTGGGCTCTAGTGTGGATTTCCAAAGTCAACAGCTAAAAAGATAAAAAGTTACACCCCACCCCAAATATTATAAGGATGTGAAACAGCCTCTAAATAGACACCTTAGCCATAAAGAGTCCACTTATATTAGATAGCAAATGCTGTTGGAAATAACAAGTGAGATTTGATTGCTCTGATTTATAATGTGTAATCATTCTCCTAATGTTATACTTTGGCTTTAACTGTTCATTTTCTTCCCCTTTCTAGAAAATGTTGTCCATATTCAGTGATGTTAGTCTCTCTGCATTTATTTTTAATCAGCCCATGAAGAACACACTCTCCATGCCTGGATTCCACATCCAGTCTATTTTTATGTGTTCTTAACACACTTTCCAGAAGAATCTAAATCATGTCATTCGCATTGCTCTCACCAGACTTAGCTGGATAGCTCCCTACCTTTACACATTTTACACAGTGAGATATGAGACATCTTGTGGTGAATTCTGCCTAGCACAAAGTTTATTTTCCCCGTTTCTTTAGAGCAGTCCAATACCCATTACCATACACATAAAAATCTTAAACCCTGGAAATTGCACACAGACACCTTCATTGTTAGGATATAAGGCCTGATCCAAGGACCAAAGTCAACAGCAGGACTGCAATAAGCACGAGACTCAGCTCTTCAGTTCGATTTGAGTGGATGCCCCAGAGAAATGCTGGTGGCATATTTCTTTCAAAGATTGCCATTGGGGAAAATTTACCTTTTTCCAGAAACCAGCTAATAAAATAGTCCTTCATTTATTTGGCTATTACAAACCAACTTCCAAATACAACAATGGAGATACTGCATGTAGGAATTAGAGAACATAAATAGTCTTGTTTTTATAAAACTGTTTTAAAGCTACTATCAAAATCTCTAAAGGATTTTGGAAAGAATCTCCGTAACTAACTCCTTATTGAATAGCAAGAGGCTTGAAAACTACAAAACTTTAAAGCAGAAGGTATCTAAAAACTTCAATGATTTTTTTTTCTTTGAAAGCTCTATAAATTTATGACTGTTTCTGAAATAATTATGAACTGTGTATTTATTTTTATACAGGTAAGACATGCTCTCACACTATCAACCTTTCTCAGGCCCTTCTTCCTCTTCTCCTATTTAGATATTTTTTTTTCCTTAGAATAAGTATAAAAGGCTTGGCTTATTGCCAAGCAATAAAGCTGATAGTTTTTGCAGCTAATAAAGTTAAAATCTGAATTAGCTTCTGTATAACTTGCACTAGTTGAAAAACACACATGCACTTGGTGCTTGCTATTGTTGTCTTCACAGAGGTTGACTGTTGTAATGTATAACCTACTATTTGGTATAATAATGAAGGGTAGGAATTCACAGGTAAGGCAGGTCCAAGCCCCACAAGATGCTTGGAATATTACAAACCAAACAATAATACCAAACATTGCTTTATTTTAATACTCAGAACCACATTCCCATTTGCAGATGTACTTTATAAGCACGGCCTGCACACCAGTGACTTGCCTTCATGAATATGCATTTAGCTGATCAAGTAAAACCAAAGATAGCCTTTTATTATAAAGAGCATGATGTTTATTGACTGCACCGTTGAATATGCAAACATGTATTAAATCAAACAAATAGAAGCATAAGAACACAATCCCCTGTGACTACTGTAACCAGCTAAATATATTCTGCAAGCACAGTGAAATGCAAAGACAGCAGAATGGCAAAGAAAAGCCCAGAACCAACAATTTCTGTTTCAGAAGGTTATTTGTAAAATTATTGGCTGAAACTCATAAAACAGACAGACTTGTTTTGAAATTAACTTCCTTGGGAATAATGCCACTGAGCTCAGGAGTTCCTTGATAGTCCTTATAGACTTATCTTGTTCTTATCATTTGCTACCTAATTTTAAGTGAAATTTCAGCTCAGGAGACACAATGTAGAGCAGATACAATAAGATATGCTGTTTTGCAATACTTTGAAATTATGACCTTCATTACAGAAAGATATTTCCAATTCTAAACCAAATTCACTAACCTTTCATGTGCTTATATCACCACTTCTTATAGTATTTTCTAAATATAAAAACGTTGCTATGTCAAATGGCAGTAAAGAACTCTTAGCTCTTTTATGCTTTATCAGAGTGTCAGCAGCTGGAAGCCCCCTGACTGTTTCCCAGTAAAACATCTCTGCACTGCTACACTAACCTAGTTACTTCTGAGAGGAATATTGGGTATGTGTTGATGGCACATTAGTAGGGAGGAGACAGAATGAACTAAAATCTCTACAGATATTGTTAAGGGATAAGTAAAAGGACATTCTAATTGATTAATTAAATTGTTTAATGATATGCAGTTATATAAGTCCTAAAGCATTTACTGCTAAAATTTATGTTTGTAGGACTATCATAATGCAAGACAAAAATAATTTCCTAGCAGTTGGAACAGAATCAGCGCAGAATCAGAAATGGGGGCTTGCCCTGAACACTTGCGGTAGGATTCATACAAGTTATGCACCAAATATAATCTTTTCATGTTGTCTTAGTAGTAGTTCACAGAGAGTGACAACTCCATTAGGTGACTAAGTTCTACTACATTAGGGCAGGATGAATCATCTTCTGAAAATGTCATTCACTACATCCTAAGAAACACCAGTCTCTGATGATACCACTTGCAATGATAATGGCACAAGCTTTTATGACTAGCTTAGACTAGCACCCTTCTTTTAAAGGGCTCTAGTGAGATGTGATCAATTTTACCCTTAAATTTCACTTACACACAAATAAACTAGCTCTGAAATAGGAATTATACTTTCCAAGAGTCAAACAGGGAAGAATGTCAAATTGGTAGCAGCATAGGCATTAATACTGCATCTGGATTGCAGTATTACAGAGAGCTGGACCCTGTTTCCATAGAAGACAACATTTTGCCCCAGTAAGCTTGGGCACCTCTATGATGCAGTGCAAGTATATGAGAGAGTGAGCAGAGGGAGATGAAACAAATGAGGAGGAGGACAAGGCAACAATAAAATGATTGAGTTTGATATAAGGAGTACCAATCACAGCACAGTAGTTGACTAGTTAGTGTTTACATCAATAATACAATTAATCTGCTTAAAACTGCTTGTTCTATTCAAATTAAGAAGTATTATTGTATGCAAGTTCTTCATAGGTTATAACAAAAACTTGGGATGCCAGAGGGACACCATGTGCCTAAGGCCTGTACCTCCTGAGAATTAAAGCCTACATTAGCATATGCATTAGCATGACACTGTACTGTCATAATAAAAAAATACAGACACAGTTTTGTCAATCGGAAATGACATGAAACATTGGTACCTGAAAGCTCAAATAATGCTTATTTAATCTTACCTTAGAAAAACTTAGGAAAAAGCCTACCGCTTAGAAAAGTACTACAGCAGCTATGAATTTATTTTCATTGATAGACATATTTTTGGTAACTGCAATGCTATACAGACTGTAAACTTAGCAATCTTTGGCATAATTGACTCAATAAAAATCATATGACTAACCTCAGATTGTTGGAGTAAATTACTTATCTCATTCACACAGAATTCTTAAAATTTCTTTTGATGAAAGAAACCCCTTTTCCAAGGTAATCAACGATTACTTGGAAGACTGATGCAGCA